GCGGTGGCTCACGCCTGTAATCCCAGCACTTTGGGAGGCCGAGGCGGGTGGATCACGAGGTCAAGAGATCGAGACCATCCTGGTCAACATGGTGAAACCCCGTCTCTACTAAAACTACAAAAAATTAGCTGGGCATGGTGGCGCGTGCCTGTAATCCCAGCTACTCAGGAGGCTGAGGCAGGAGAATTGCCTGAACACAGGAGGCGGAGGTTGCGGTGAGCCAAGATCGCACCATTGCACTGCAGCCTGGGTAACAAGAGCAAAACTCCGTCTCAGAAAAACAAAAAAACAAAAACAACAACAACAACAACAACAAAAACACTAACAGCAAAAGCAGTGTAATTAAGAAGAAAACTGGCTGAAACACTCCATAAGTTCTGGTTGCCAGATAAAAGAAAGGAGGAGATGAGTGGAAGAGATTTCTGGGGGGTAAGCTGAGCATGGAAGCTGTGCTCTAGCCCAGAAGTGGCTGTGGGAGCAAAGGGCGAAACAGGGATGATGACGGTATGCTTGCGTGTGCACACACACTGGGAGAAGGAGCTCCACATCATTTCCTTTTTGGGCTCACTTCCCTCAGGGTGCACGCAGCGTCCTGGAGATGATGGAGTGGCGGATGCTTTCAGGACCTTTTAGCTCTGGTTGCTGCATTCCAGGGTGACACCTGGTGGGAAGGAGCTCCCTGGAACCAGCTTGGCTCAGAAAAAGCAAGGCTTGGGTGAGGAGTGGTGGTGAATTGGGCGATGAGTCACGGGCAGGTGTTGACACAGTCACTCAAGTTTGTTTAGTGGCTGTTCACTCTTTCCCCCTCCACATTACATCGCCCTCCCCCCGTCTGCCCGCCAGTCTGGTCTAAAGTCAAAGTATCGGATGATGGGTCTTGTCCAGTCCAACTCAGGGAAATGCAGCGAAAGTCCCACCCCAGCACTTTGAGGAAGCAGAGCATCAGCCTTTTGTCTGAGTGTGTTGGGGAAGAGAGCAGAAGGTACTTGACCTTAATTCACGCCTTACCAGTTGACCTTAATTCAGTCCTTACTATGTGCCAGGCATGAAATGTACACTTCTTATTCCATCCACCTTAGGTGAGTAAACTAGGATCTACCTTTCTTAGATGAGAATTTTTTTGTCCCTTTTGGTGGAGAATGGGGTCTCGCTATGTTGCCAAGGCTGCTCTCGAATTCCTGGGCTCAAGCTATTCTCCCACTTCTGCCTTCCCAGGCATTGGGATTACATGCATCAGCCACCACACCTGGCCTCAGGTGAGGAAATTTTTCTAAAGCCAATAAGAAATGGAGGGGTTTTGTGCCCGTCTGCATGACCTCAAACCTCCCAGACTGAGAAACAGATGTAGAAACAGCGCAGGGACAAATATATAAGAAGTCAGGGAGAGAACAAGGCCAGGCGTGGCAGCTCATGCCTGTAATCCCAGCACTTGGAGAGGCCAAGGCAAGAGGACTGCTTGAGCCCAGGAGTTCAAGACCAGCCTGGGCAACATAATAAGACTGTTTCTACAAAAAAAAAAAAAAAAAAAAAAAAAAAAAAAAAAAAAATATAAAAAAAAAAAAAAAAAAAAAAAAAAAAAAAGAGAATTGGCTTTCAGTGTGGCAATATCACTATTCCAATGAGATACAGAATGGAACAGAAGTTGCTTTTACTCCAGACTCATCCCTGCCCTTTGTCAGGAATCTAGGACCTTCTGCTTCTCTCCACACTGTCCTTGTCAGTTTAAGATTTTTATACATCAGACTGCATGTGCAAGCATCTATGAGGCAGGGGGAACTGTGCCCAGATTTTGTGGCACTGGCTTCCTGAGGGCTCTCAGCCTGGCTTGTCAGAGCCCAGGTTGACCCTAGCCCTCTTCGCTCTCTCCAGCAGTCCTGGTGGGTTTGGCTGGGCTAGTCATCCATAGCCTTCAGACTTTTTGAAACAAGCAATGTGTTCCTTTAGAGTTGGAGGCAAAGAAACAGAACACATGAGTGTGTTATTCCAGGCTCCTCGGGCTGAGGGCAGAGGCACGGAGGGCAGGCAAATGGACATCAGGCAGTGTCGAGGCCTGCATTCCCTCCCTGCACCTTCCGTGGAGTACCCCTCCAACTCACTGACAGCTACCATCGATGGAGTGCTTCTTATGTGCTTGGTACTTTCTCACTTGACTCTGATGAGCTCCACTGTACAGATGAGCAATCTGAGGCTAGACAGGCTAAGAACCATGACCAAGCTTGCCTAGTTAGTAGGCACGGAGTTGAGATTTCCCTTTCAAATCCCATTCTAACCCTTGTTATCTAACTTTAACTTTTCTAATTCTAGACTCGAGTTCCTTTTTTAGCAATCCCCGACAAGAACGGGTTGCAATGTAAGAATATGAGAACTAAAATATTTTCAAGGTTAACAAAAAGATACGCAAGAAATAAATCCACACACGTTAGCATTTCCCACAAAGGGAACTCACAAGTGGGAGGGAATGACAATAAATTCCATTCATGTGTGATAGTTTTTTTTTTTTTTTGCCAAGAACAGATAACCTGTGTAGATTAAACATCTATTATATATACATCAATATGAGTAAATAAATGTTTTTGTAAGTTTTGTGTCATTACAATATTCAACTCTGATTGTGCCTGTTCAATCTTTAATTGCAGCGATCTTGTCCTAACCTAAGATAAGGGTAGGACATTTTCCTGATTAACTTTGGAAAAAAGTTCACCCCTGAATTTTCTGGTGCCTATCTCAACCTTGAAAAGCATTCTCAAAGATGATTCTGTGGGCTGCGTGCGGTGGCTCATGCCTGGAATCTCAGCACTTCGGGAGGCTGAGGTGGACGAATCACCTGAGTTTAGGAGTTCGAGACCAGCTTGGCCGACATGGTGAAACCCCATCTTTACTAAAAATACAAAAGTTAGCCGGGCATAGTGGTACACGCCTGTAATCCCAGCTACTTGGGAGGCTGAGGCTGGAGAATTGCTGGAACCCAGGAGACAGAAGTTGCAGTGAACCGAGATTGCACCATTGCACTCCAGCCTAGGCGACAGAGCAAACCTCCGTCTCAAAAAAAAAAAAAGATTCTGTTACCAACGTTTGTAATGTGTTCCTTTGCCCCCCAACTTCCTTTCCAGAGACATTCTTTTTGCTGATTAACCTTACCCCTCCTTTTCTGCTTCCCTAAGAGAACACAAACAGCTGGCATTTCTCTATAGATGAACATTCCTCTGAAAATTAAACCAAAAAGGAACAGTCGGAGCAGATCCTTCAGGCTCCACTGTCTGTTTTATTGTTTAACAGCTGCTCCCTTGTTTCTCTGTAAAGCCAGGTACCACTGCTTGGGTGAGAAGTGCCTCCATCAGTCAAAAATGGAAGGAGATTTGTATGACCAAAGAAGGTGTTCAATCTGGGTTCCCCGGAGTTCTTGGGGAACCCAAGGAGATCCCTGAGCGAGTGTGGGGGACGATGGCTCTGGGTCCATGTGTGAGCTGAGCCAGGGTTCAGGTGGAGGCAGGTCTGCTTTCCTGTCGGGCACCCATGTAAGGTTGTGCTGGAATGGAAATGTTCGACAGCTACAAAGACATTTAAAAGCCGCTGTATACAGAATTGAAGCCCCTTCCAGGAGTTTGGAATGGAATTGTTGCCCCAACTCTAAAACAAGGGTAATATCCTTAACCAACACCCAACATCACAGTGAGAAGTCATTATAAAATGACCTTGCAAAGTGAGGGGTGGCCAGGAAAGTAGCATGTCAATGGCGACAGTGACAGCATGATGGTGAGCATGATGGAAGTGCTGGCGATGGCAATTCCATCTGACCACATCCTCCTGAACGCCCGAGGCTGAGCTCGGCCATAATGACAGAGGGACTCTGGCTGGCAAACTGGGTCAGGCTTGCACCAACATGGAAGGCGTCAGGGTGACAGCCTGGCAGATCAGGAGCGACTGCTATCAAGTATTTGATCTTGCTTTAAAAATCAGTTCCCTCCCCTTCTTTTATGACTATGTCCTCTTAAAGCTTATTTGCTACCCATTGAGATTCACACTGTATACATAAAAGACATCAGATAATATCGTTATCTGCACTTCTCATGGAGTATTATTAATGTTTCCTTTTTATAAAAATTATGGCTACTTGATTCTTCTCTCATTTTTTAAACTCTAAATTTCTGAAAAGAGGGGTCTAGCTTCATTAATCTCTGCACCCCTGCCTGAGAGTACCTAACACGGAATCTTGCTTATGGAGTGAGCACTCAATAAATATTTTTGAATAAATGGTTCCCTGTCCCATTATTTGGAAACTGAGCTGCTGCCCGTCAAAAAACAGACATGCATGGATTTTAAATTACTTTTAATCCAAACGAGTTTTAATTCTATTTTCTATTTTTTCCTTTCTGTCCAGGACAACCAAACAGAAGCGCAAACAGGTGGCCCAGAAGAGTAGCTTTCCTGGTGTGGAGACACATGGACGGACAAACAACCTCTGCCATGCCAATTTCTCTTTTCGTCCTGATGATTGAAGGGCGTGGAAAAAAATACCATGGGAAATGAACTAGCACAGTGCAGTGAGCGCCTAAGAGGTGCTAATAACACATCCACCCCAGTTTCCCTACTCCGCTGCAGGAATTGTCAACTAATATCCAAACCTAGGCAACCAGGAAGTCACCTGGCAGCTGATGCGTCACAGTTCCTGGTTATCTGTTTCCAGCTTACTCTTGCTCTGTAAAAACACACACTGTCTGATATAAGGTCTGGTGGTCTGCTATGAAGTCTGCTGCTGCTGACAATGATGATGACAGTGATGATGAGAATGATGACAGCAGTAAAGTCTGTTGAACAGTATGTGGCAGACACCAGGTTGGGCCTCTTATGTACATTATCTCATTTAAACTTTACTCCTGCCTTATGAAGTAGTACTATTATGACTTCCATTTAACGCATGATCAGACCACACGCCACAGACCCAGCAAGCTACAGTCACTTGACCAAGCACTCAGGGCTTCTATCGTCAAGGTGGTACTTACCTAGGAAGTACAGAGTTAGGTGGCCTGGATTTTGCAGGGGATGCAACTTTCGGTTCTGGCCCAGAGCTCCCTGAAGACCCTGGCAGAGAATCCTGTGCCGGCCCGGATTGGTTTGGAAGTATTTCCCTTGTGGAAATCAGGAGATGCTCTTTATCTTTAACTTCTTTTTCCCGGGACTTGGCTTTGTGTTCTGCCAGGAGGAGGTCAAATTGCTTTTTCCGGCCCGGGACTGCCCTCCGATGGCTTAGCGAATGTGTCTAAGGAGAAGAGAAATGAAAAGCACAGCCTCTTTGATCAGCACATAAACCTGCTTCCCCAGGCCCTCCATTTCAGAAATAGCAATTCATGGAAATTTAGAGGTGCTTGAAAAGTCAACTTCAAGGCAACAGCTCCTGTTCTGTGGCTAGGAAGAGGCAGAGACCACACGAATGCAACCATGCCCTACACTCCTGGTGTTAAGAAGTCAAAGCTTCCTCCAAAAAATGGCATAGGATGATGAGCTTCAGCGCAGAACCCATGAAAACCTCTCTGATGAAAGGCAACTGCGAGGGAATGCTAGAATTAATCCAGGTGCAGGTGGGAGGCTCGATTCGGCCCAGACAAACAGAGCCACCAAGCAGAGAGGGCCATCGCCTTGATCCCAAGAAGCACTAGCAGTTCAGTATGAAATACAGGGCTTTGGGCTACCCAATGGTGGCCACCTTGGGTCAGCTGTTCCCCAGGCCACCCCGGTGTGGCTGGATCAGGGGCGCGGCATATCATCCTCCCCTCCAGGGCTGCCTTTCAGGGCGCTGCCGCCGCCGCCGCCGCCGCCGCCGCCGCTGCTGCTGCTCCTGCATACATTAAAACGTAGCAGGCTTTAGAACCGCCTGTGAGTGCCTATAAATACAATTTACTGTCTGGCCTCACAAGTAACAGGGGAAGCCTAGTTTTTTTTTTTTTTTTTCCTTCTTAAAAAGCCAGCCAGCTTGAGGCAGGCACTCTGCTACCATGGACGAGAAGAAAGCATTTCCCTTACAAAGAACAGCTGGGGGTCATGTCGAGGTTCCACACCCTGCCGTGTGCAGAGAGTGGCATGCAAACATTTCGACAAAGGCCCCAGCGAGAGCAGGAAGTATTTTTTATGGAAAGAGAAATACCTTGCAGGTGAGGGATCTTGTGCAAGGTTTCTTTGTCTCGGGATCCAACACTCCACAGTGTTTATTTGGGTCAAATTCTCTCTCTGGTTTAAGAAACAAACAAAAAATATAAGAAAAAAGGAGACTAAATAGGATTTGGCATTAAGACTACATTTTTAAAAAAATGCACATTTGCACCAACAAGTGAGACATTGTCAGGCAATCTGTTTTTTGTTTTTTTGTTTTTTGTTTTCTCAACCGGCTGCTAAAATGCTTCCAGAACCGCTTGGTGGGGAAATGGTGCTCCCCTCTGAACCCAAAGTTCCCAAGTCTAGCTTCAGCAGGATGGCCGAACACAGCACAAGGCTCGGGGAAGAGGGCGGGAGCAGGCACTGAAGGGAAGGAGAGGAGCTGTGCCGCTCTTAACGCTTTATTTCACTTGCAATGGGTCCACAGATCCTTGGCATTTGGGCAAAGCTGGCTGCAGACCAGGGAGAGCCACCTGCGACCCAACAGCCCCTTTCATGGGCTGCTCCAAGAGTGCAGAAACCCTGACTCTGGCTCCTGCCTTCTTGCTAGTTTTAGCCATTTAAGTGGGAGACTACTCCTTGACATGTCAGACTGACCTGGCTCTCTCACACTTGACAAAGCCCTCAGCGCAGGCTTTACACACAACCTTGCTGACCACAAACACCATTTACCTGATGGAGGGGGACTCTGGCAGTATTACAGGCAGGGGCAGGGGAGGAGGCTGAACTTGAACGTGCAGAGAGGGCAGGGTCTGCTCATCTCAAAGCTGCTCCCCGTCCCCACTGTCCTGGGCCTGATGCTTCATGTGGGAATAAAACACGGCAGGCTGCCCCTGTGAGATGAAGGATGTCTGTGTGGAGAGGCCAGGTTTCCCCAGCTCCTGCCTTTCCAGTTGACTGTGGACAGCTCGTGTGACAGTTACATCTAAGGGGCCTGTTCTTTCTATGCTCATCTTGGGTCCTTCACCCCTGCCAGGATGACAATCATGCCGTAATGAGGGCCTCTGAGGTGATCTCTTTTTATTTTTATTTTTATTTTTTGAGACAGCGTCTCACTGTATTGCCCAGGCTGAAGTCCAGCGGTGGGATCACAAGGCTCACTGCAGCCTTGACCTCCTGGGCTCGAGCCATCCTACTGCCTCAGCCTCCTGAGTAAGAGGTAGGCACCACCATGCCCGGCTAATTTTTTTTTTTTGCAGATACAGGGTCTCACTACACTCTCCAGACTAGGGGATCTCTTAAGGATCCTTTCGCCTTTAAAATTTCACCTCTCAGATGGCCTGTGTCGTTTTTGGAAGGCACCAAGCAAACATGTAAGTCCGGCAGAGCAGGAAAGACACAGCCCTCTGGGCACGTGGGGCGTCTGGTAACAGTGGTGGTGGTGGTAGGGGTGTACAGAAATTGGTGATATATCCTTAAGACCCTGGAATGGCTGCAAACTCAAAAAAGGTTACCTAACCAGAAAACTGTCTGAAATTGGTGGAGTAAACTCTGAGCTTACAATAAAGCTCAGATTATAACATAATAAATAAATGTATTCTATTTTCAAAAGCTTTGAGGGTCATAGGGAGGTTGCAGTGGTGGTGCCTATGGCATGCACAAGAAAACCACTCTACACCCAAGCAGATTCCCTGGCTGGTTACCAAAGTGCCTCTCTGCTTTTTTTTGTTTTTGTCTGCCTTTTCTCTCTCTCTGTTTTAAAAAAAATTTTTTTTTTTTTTTTAAGCTTCACTTAGGAAAAAAAAAAATGCTAGGCCTGGAGATGCTGGTCTGCTCAGAGCCCTCTCTGACCAGGCTGCCTGGCGTGGTGTTTCCTCCTGGGTCCGCCAGAGTCAGGCCTGTGCCTGGTCCCACACCAGCGCCTCATGTCGACCTGAAGCTGAGCAGGCTGTTGGCTGTGGGGAGGAGCCGGCTGCCAAATGTGAAAGTGAGGCAGAAACAAGCAAAAGACCCAGTAAGACAGGACAACCCACAAAATGCAAAAACCACACTCGGCAAAAAAAAAATCCCCAGACAACTTCAGATGGGGTCGCAGGCTGGAAGCCAAGGCCGTGCTTCTGCTACAGCGAGGACCCCTCGGCCTCCGGCCACTGTGCCCACGCCTACCGGTTTTCCGGGGATGGTGCCACCTCCTCTGAGGAGTGAAGCCGAGCTTTCCATTCAGGGAGAGCCAGGCGCTGGGGACTCCAGCTTGAACCGTGAGGCCCATGGTGCTCAGGAAGAGTGCCAGGCTCTACCTTCCTCTCTTGACAGTGGTGGGCAGTGCAGGCAGAGATGTACAAGGCATGATACCTGCTTTATTTGAATGCTTTGGGACTGAGGGACTTTTCAGACATAATTTTTAAGAGAGTTACAGATGAAAGACAGAAAAACTAGAAATACAGTCAAATATAGAAGTAGATAATAAAATTACCCACAATTCCTTGGGTGCTTAAAAATCAAGCTTAACCTGAGGACCGTTTCTCTGTCATAGTGTGGCTGTCACTGTATTTTACTTTCTCTGGCCACCATTAGGGAGTGCCCCTGATGTGTGAAGAAGTTATGACGATTATAGCTTTTCCTGGTCTTTCAGAGAAAGTAAAAACTGCCACCTTTAGTTCTACGGCAGATCCAAAGCAAACATTACCCACATGGGGGCCTCCAGCAGAGCCACTGTCATCTCAGAGAACGGCCCCAAGTGCCTCTCCTGGCACCCCAAGTGTCTGCTCAGACAACCAAGCAGTAGACCCAAAAGAGGCTGCCCCAACACCCCATGGGCACTGCCAGCCCTAGCGTTCCTGTTTGGGAATTCCAACCTGAGTATGGGGGACAGACAGTTGTAAACCCAACTGCAGAATCAACCTGGAAACTCCCAAAAGCCAAAGGACAGAGGCTGTGTGTCCCTGTGCAGCACAGCACTGGCGGGGCTGCCCCTCGCACGCCTTGAGCCGCCATGAGATGCCTGTGTGTGTGTGTTGTCCAGCTTCTTAGCAGTGAAGCGTCTATGGAAGCCAGCACTGGTTCAAGTCGTCAGCATGATGCGGATACACAGAACCACCTGCTCAGAAGACCCTCAGAATCGACAGACTGGGTTGGTGCAGGGCATCCTGCCACCTGGGTTGCTAGGGTTACTCCCATTAAGCACTGAACTAAGTCAGGGACTTCATCTGCCCAGGGAAGAAGAGACCTGGTTTTCCCTTGCATTTTTAGATGGGGTTCCTGTTTGCAGGTGAACTCCACATCCCCCTTAAAAGTAAAACAGACCTGCTTAATGACAAGAACACATCACTCCTTGGTTATGGATGCAACTCCCTTTCGGTCTAATCATGAGTCAGACCCTGACGACACTGACACATACCTGAAAGTCTCCTGTAAGGCTTGTTGCTGTTTTTGGTGCCATTTTGGTGTTTCTTGTCTATGGTGGTTGGCAGAATTCCTTTGCCATTTAAGATCTTCTCTGGTGAAGGTGGCACTGACTTGGACATCAGGACCGGCTTAATTAAAGGAGGGGTGGAGACAGCGGAGGACGAGGTGGAGGAGGCGGAAACTGCAGTAGTGGCTGTAGAGTTCATTTTGACATTGGCACCATCTGCCTTCACTAGGTTAGGAATTTTCTCCAAACTGACTACAGGAACCGGAACGCTGAAAAATAAATGAACAAACACACACAATTGCCTTCTTTGATACATTTAGTCTGCTGAGGGGCCATACCCGCTTATCATTATCAGAACATGTCCTTATCACTTATTTATACCCCTCCTATAAGCAAGCAGCATGTGTCCAGTTTTGATGGGAGAGAGCTCTGTGCCCTGGAAAGGATCAACAGGGGGTACGAGGCTGGCACGGCGCCAGGGGTGGCATCAGGGCTGACTGATTACCTTCCATGCTGGGCTGTCCCATAGATCCTGCAGCTCCCCCCTTCCTGGGCCCTAGAGGTTGACGGTCTCTGACACAGCACCTTGGGCAGAACAAGGCGCCCGCTGGGAAGCTCAGGAAGAGATGCCGTTTGTCCCCTGAAGACAGTGTGCCACTGCTGAATCACGCCCCCTCCCCCCGCCGCTCAGCTAGTCCCCAGCCCGGCCCGGATCGGGCCTGACATCTGCTTAGCTCCGGAGTGCTGACAGGATCACACCACACGGAGGCATGGCTGGAGGCCAGCGTGCTGCACGGCGTGCTGTCGGACGGCTTCTGGATCACTCTCACATCCTGGGGATGGGCTCAAATTGAGTGAGCCGCCATGTAGCATTATCCAATATTCCATTTTAGGCAGCGAGTTATGTAAATAGGCAATTCTCAAGGCTGGCAGGTGAGAGGATGAATTTTAAGAAGGCAGAGCACAAAGGTGTGCTTGACTCTTCAGAATCTGTCACCTTAGCCCCCTTCCCTGCTATTTCTCCTGTATGGGATGTGCATTTGATTTCTCTGCCTCTTTAATGCAGAAGGACCTGTGTCTGGGGGGCTGTGGAGAACTCTGTCTCAGAGTCTTAAAAGATGAGATGAATAAGCTTTGCTTTGGTCCCAGAGCTAGATTCCCTTTCCTCCTGGCAGGAGGGGAGAATGCTAACATGGGCTCCCCAGTCATCTCTGAGCTGAGAGTGAAGCCTACTTAGCTATTTGAATGCCAAATGATCTAGAATATGGCTTTTACATTCCTGCAGACAATGTAGGGCAGGGAAGAGGGGCTGTTTTTGGCAGGCGAAGAATCTTATCTGTCCACATGGTGGGCTGGCTCTCCTTTCTCTAAGATTCATTCACAGATTATTTCTTTGATCAACTTGTTCATGAAATTATTTTAGCCCCGTCCCAGCCCCTGCCCCTTTTATGTCTTTGAAACAGGATCACAGCTGTTTGTTACAGATCTTTGCCAGTGAGAAGGGTGCAGAGTAGTGGCACAGGCTGTGGCTGGACATTATGGACTTCTCCCTTGGACCATGTACCTTTTCGGGCTGGGGAAAGGTGATGTGGGGCTTCAAGTCCCACGTGAGGGGACACTAGAATGACAGTTTTTGGTAACACCCTGTGCCACTGCCAATTCCGTCCTTGATCAGAGTGTCTCCGTCTCTGACACAGAGCTGAACTGCGTTCCTTTCTATTTAATGGCAATTCTCAAAGCACTCTCCTATCACTGAAGAATGGCACAAGAAGCCCTTTGAGAATGGGTGCACCAAGACGCTACACAGAGATTACCTGGTGAAATTAGTGCTGCATTCCTGATTTTTTTCCAAGTGATAAGAGATGCAAAACAATGTGATACAGAATTCTTCTAGGCTTACTCCTTGGCACATTTAAAAAGTCGCAAGTGACAGAAATCAGGGTTCTGAAGAGAGATTTGTATACCCATGTTCATAGCAGCTTTATTCACAGTAGCCAGAGGTGGAAGCAGCCCAAGTGTCCATCAGCAGATGAATGAAGAAGCAAAACGTGGCATATTCAGCTTTAAAAAGGAAGGAAATGCTGACATGGGCAGGCGCCTTGAGGATATTATGTTAAGTGAAATAAGCCAGTTACAAAAGACAAATACTGTACAATTCCACTTATATGAGGTACCTGGAGTAGTCAAGTTCATAGAGACAGAAAGTAGAACAGTGGTTGCCAGGGAATGGGGGGCAGGGAGAATGGGCAGGTTTTTTTAATGCCCATTGAACAACTGTATAGAGTTTCAGTTTTGCAAGACGGAAAAAAAAGTTCTGGAGACTGGTTGCACGACAGTGGGAATGTAGTCAATACTATCGAAATGTACATTAAAAATGATTAAGGTGGTAAATTTTATGTTAGGTGTATTTTACTGCACTTAAAATTTTTTTACATATACAAACTAAAAAAAAGGAAATTACAAAACTCTTACAACCTATTATATTTCAATAAACCTGACCTTAAAAATACAGATCAGGGGCCGGGTGCGGTGGGTCAAGCCTGTAATCCCAGCACTTTGGGAAGCCGAGGTGGGTGGATCACGAGGTCAGGAGTTCAAGACCAGCCTGGTCAACATAGTGAAACCCTGTCTCTACTAAAACTACAAAAATTAGCTGGGCATGGTGGCATTCCTGTAATCCCAGCTACTCGGGACACTGAGGTAGGAGAACTGCTTGAACCAGAACCTAGGAAGCGGAGATTGCAGTGAGCCGAGACTGTGCCACTGTACTCCAGCCTGGGTGACAGAGCGGGACTCTGTCTCCAAAAAAAAAAAAAAAATTATCAGTGGCCTGGTGTAGTGGCTCATGCCTGTAATCCTAGCACTTTGGAGTCTGAGGCAGGAGGATTGCTTGAGCCTGGGGGTTTGAGACCAGCCTGGGCAACATAGTGAGGCCAGTCTCTACAAAATAAACATCAAAATTAGCCAGGCATGGTGGTATATGCCTGTAGTCCCAGTTACTTGGGAGGCTGCAAGTGAATCACTTGAGCTCAAGAGTTTGAGGTTACAGTAAGCTATGATCACACTATTGCAAGGCAGCCTGGACAACAGAGCAAGACTGTGTCTCAACTCACCCCACTGGCCCTGCCGGCACCCCCCAAACCCAAACTTATTGGCCAGGTGTGGTGGCTCATACCTGTAGTCCCAGCATGTTGGAGGCCAGGGTGACAGGACTGCTTGAGGCCAGGTTTTATTTTTGAGAGAGAGTCTCTGTTGCTCAAGCTGGAGTGCAGTGGCACAACCTTGGCTCACTGAAACCTCTGCCTCCTGGATTCAAGTGATTTTCTTGCCTCAGCCTCCCAAATAGCTGGGATTATAGGTGTGCACCACTACATTTGGCTAATTTTTGTATTTTTAGTAGAGATGGGGTTTCACCGTGTTGACCAGGCTGGTCTCGAACTCCTGACCTCAAGTGATCCTCCTGCCTCAGCCTCCCAAAGTGGTGGGATTATGATCCTCCCACCTCAGCCTCCCAAAGTGGCAGGATTACAGGTATGAGCCACCACGCTCAGCCGTTTTTTTTTTTTTTTTTTTTTCTCTGACATGGAGTCTTGCTCTTGTTGCCCAGGCTGAAGTGTGCAATGGCACAATCTCAGTTCACTGCAACCTCTGCCTCCTGGGTTCAAGCAATTCTCCTGCCTCAGACTCCCGAGTGGCTGGAATTACAGGCATGTGCCATCACACCTGGCTAATTTTTGTACTTTTAGTAGAGATAGTGTTTCACCATGTTGGCCAGGCTGGTCTCGAACTCCTGACCTCAGGTGATCCACCTGCCTCAGCCTCCCAAACTGCTGGGATTACAGGCATAAGCCACTGCTCCTGGCTAGGCCAGGTATTTGAGACCAGCCTGGACAACATATTGAGACCATGCCTCTACAAAAAGCTGGGCATGGTGGTACACACACATAGTCCCAGCTACATGAGAGCCTGATGGGAGGAGTGTTGCTTGAGCCCAGGAATTTGAGGCTGCAGCAAGCTAGGATTGTGCCACTGTATTCCAGCCCAGGTAACAGAGTGAGACCCTAGCTTGGGGAAAAAAAAAATATGAATCTCTTCTGTTCAAAAACCTTTTATTGACTTAATTTCTCACCCTTGTTCTGATCTGTTGACTTCTATTTATTTAGGGAAAAAAATTAAGCTTCAAGTGTTGATATGAACACATGGACAGCTAGCAAGGTGAGAAGGTGCTCTAGGGCCTAGGCAGCCTTCTCTGATGTATTAATATTTCTTTGTGAAGCCAAATTAATTCAGGAAAGGAAATTAGAACTTAAAGTTCCAGATCTAGTTCTCATTGCATGAACTGGTACGAGTTAACATAATGCCTCTAGTTTCTGTGAAAAATGCCCTATGTAGATGTTAGGCCCTCAGGCCTTCAGCAGACAAAGATATGATGCCTGGGATAGAATAATCCAGGCAATTGTACAGATAGAAATATATTTAAAAACCAAGCCAAGCAGCCCTCAAATGCTCACAGCACAGTCTGCGTTTCTCCTCTAAAGTCAATGACCAGCTCCGAATGTGCTCCTTAAGGCAGCTACGTGAGCACAGGTGCACCAGGTCCCAGCATGTAGAACCATGTCAGTCATCTCCCTGGTGACACTCCTTCCCAACTGTGTGTAACTGAGTTTGGGTCAGGCCAGCTAATGTCTGTGACTGTCTCCTAATTTGGAATTTTTTCCACTATGTAATGAGTATGGCCCATTCATGCTCTACTGTCAATGCTTCCAGAACTAAGCTGGATGCGAAATTGGAGCCCATTGGAAACAGGAAAGACAGCCTGACGTGCAGTCCTCTGGAATGAAGAATAAGAAGTGTTGGGGAAAAAAGTCCGATCAAGAATGTTTCAAAGGTTTCAAACACCAGGTGAGTTGGTAAGGAGCTGGGCCACCAAGTAAACACCTCTGATGTTAGGTAAAAGGATGACAACTGGCAGGAGGAGAGAAGGGAGACTGAGCCCTTTTGAGTGCATTCTAAGGGTGTTCATTAGCGAGTGGACAAGGGCTTAGAAAAGTGAGGGAGGACAGCCTGGAGCTGCCTCTGATACTTTCTTCTTTGGTGTCCCTTCTCTCCCTCAAAAGCTTTCGGCTTTCTCTGGAAGGGAACCTGCCTTGGCCTGCACTGAGAAGATACAGAAGTAGGCAGCTGAGTGACGGTGGCAAAAGCATTTGATCTTGCCATCCTCTTCCCCAGTGTACATGCTAGCCATTGGGCCAGACTTTCTTCACTACAG